CTGACCAGCACTGAACTGTTCTTGTGGGGCACAGTCACAGGTCTAGCTTTACAGGTGGAATGAAAATCCCTGAATCCACTCCACGCTCCAGGTTAACACTCTTCCTCCCCACTTTTAAAAAAATAAATGCAAAGACACAACTAAACCTTCTGTCATAATACAGGAAACTCAAAAAGAATTCCCACACTGATCAGTAAATCTCAATAAGGCTCCCATTATTCCTTCCTTTACTCTGAAGAAAGTCCTCTTTTCCATATCACCTAATTTTACACTGCAAAAGTTTACTTCTAAGAAAGATTAATAGTTACCCAACAATGAACTTTCCTCTAAATAACTTTGGGCCATCTAAGACAGGGTAGAATTTTGAGTCTTTTGTGGGCATAAAAGGAAACAGGTATAACTGCCTAACAGCTTGGTTTGGTATTTAGTAATCTAGCTTTCCACATGTGTCAGGATTGGCCTTTACTTCTCTAGGCCGATGAAATGGAAGTTGAACAGTTAGCAGCAGAAGTTAGGGGCTGGGAGACTCAGAGGCACAGTTTGGAAGATGGGACTGCAAAAGTTTACTTATAACTTTGGGCCATCTAAGACAGGCTAGAATCTTGAGTCTATGCCATGGGCATAAAAGGAAACAGGTACAACTGCCTAACAGCTTGGTTTGGTATTTAGTAATCTAGCTTTCCACACATGTCAGGATTGGCCTTTACTTCTCTAGGCCGATGAAATGGAAGTTGAACAGTTAGCAGCAGAAGTTAGGGGCTGGGAGACTCAGAGGCACAGTTTGGAAGATGGGGTGTTCAAGATAAGATGTGTCTGTCAAATGGAAGCTGTCTCTGGTGTTGTTCACCCTCCTGCCAACGAGGGCTGCTTTTCCCAGGGCTCCTCACTGCACCCTCTGCATCACCAGGGAGCATCTGTGCTCACAGATGTATCGTACCCATCACAGGGCAAGCTGAGGCTTAGCCTACAGGTGTAGTTCAGTTAAATTTTCACAGTTGGAATAAAGATCCTTGTGGCATTAGTAAATCAATCCACCCTTGGGTAAGGACTTCAAGCAGCTGCATAATTTATAATGGTTTCACTTTTATTTACAGTAAGACTATCTGCACCTACTGATGCTGCAAACACCTGAATAAATTACAGTCCCTTAGACAGGGGATCTTTAGGGCAGGTAGAAAGAGAGTATGTATGCGTGGTTCTGTTCCAGACACCAGTACCAAAGACAAGTTAACATTACACAACAGAGAAGCAGCAGCATCAGGAATTACATCAGTCTGGTTTGGAAAACACTTGGCTAGCAGGATCCGGGGCAAATTCCAGCATCATTATCTTCAAAACTCAATTAACATGCCATACTGTAAAGGCTTAATGAAGTAAAGTGGCAGGTAGTCCTCATCTTTTGAACTCAAATACACATTTTTTGTTTTCCTTGCCTTTTAAACAAGGGGAAGTACCATATTAATGAAAAACCTTACTGCAAGCCACATGGACTTGACTGGTAACAGCCCCAGCTAAGCAAGGATGCTCTGACTTCTGCTTGCTCACAGGAGAAATTAGTGGTGTCCAGAAGGGAAAAATGAGAACACAGAACACTCGCTAGTGCAGCGGACACCAAAAACATCTTCATCGATGGTGCTCGAGCCTGAAATCATGGTTAAAAGCAAGAACTATTAGAATATTCTGTTACAGAAAAAGTTAGAAAATGCAACACCCTAAAACTGGTATGAGAGTTCCCACTATTGCCTCAGCCACCCAGAAGTGGCCAGCAAAGTGATTACCCAGCTCCCTAGCAGAGCTGCACTGCTCCCACTGCACGCTTGGCTCAGGGGAAGAATGAACCTTTCATACCTTTGCAGTCACCATCCAGTCTTCTGCTCAGAGACACTCCATCTGCTGACAGGGTAAGAACAATTCCACGGAGCAAGCCTGAGAAACCACCTCCAGCACTACATGAAGCTTCTGGGAAATCCTAACTGCAGACATCACGCCAAGCACTTTGTCCTTGTGCAAACCATGCATTGCCCTAACAGTCTGTGAAATAACTTGTGTGAAAGGCTGCAGCTCCCACATCTTCTATAGAAGCTTTGCAATTGTTCAGCTGATCTGAAAGTGCTGATATCGTCTCGAAGCATCCACACACAATGCTGCCATTACAGATCTACTGACAAAATAACCAAGAAGTAATACTTTCGTTGGAAGTGGTTTTTTAAACACTTGCTTAGATGAAGCTGTATTTGCCTCCGCCAGGGCCACAGGCTAGTAACATACTGCTCTGTATTTCCAATTCCTGTAGCATTGCTTTCCAGCAGAGAAATAAAGTTAGGTTATGCTGACGTTTGTTAAAGTGGCAGTGAGATGACACATCACATTGGGCTGACTTTACAGCTCATGAATTATTGCATATTGTACCTGTGGCTCATTGTAGCAACTAATTGAAAATCCACAGGGAAAAAAATGCATCGTGAACTTAAAGCATCATTCCTGTTCATACAGAAACAGAGCCATGCCCAGGGTTACTTCCTCATTTCTCACTGAAGAAAGGAGCCATTAACACCCCCCTTGCCCCCATGATGTGAGAAGCACCACCACAACAAGAGCTGCCCCATTTCTTCCAATGTTTTAGCTATATTTCAGAACTGTTACATGCCTCTTCAGCTGAGAGATGAACAGCAACTGGTGTGGAGAACTCCAGAAGGCATGAAGAGATTCAAGACATCCCCTCCAGGACATCTCGGTGCTTAGCTGGTTTGAGTGACCACAGCCCCAGGGCCTGCACAGAATCCTGCTGTCCCCACACACCAGTGAAAACCAGAGCACTGCCCTCAGGACACCCCTCTACCACTTTCCTTTTAACAATTTACCTGACACTGCCTTCTTCCTGCAATCACTCAGAGGAGTGCTTTATTGCATGTTAAAAGACAAGATATGTATTGAAAGTAGCAATTTTATTTGAGTTAAAATTATTTACAAAAACCCAAAGACATACTTCATGAAACTGGTACAAACTATTTTTCCTGCCGTTGGCTTTTGCTCCAAAGATCACAGCTGAGAAATACTGTATAAAATAAAAATAGGATTGGATTCAGAAAAGTACTCTACTGTTCTAATTTCCAATTGAGAGTATTTACACAAATATTTACAGTGGAAAAAAAGTTACTTTAAAACTTTAATTTGCAAGTTGGCCTCAAGTACCCTTTAATGCAGAGTTATTTGAGGGTCTAACACACAAAAATGCACTGCAGTTCATAGGGTGATTTCTCCCCCCACCCTCAAAAAAAAAATAATCTGCATTTGTCAGTGCTTGACAATTAGTTACATTTTAAAAAAAGAACCTGTTAAACACTGAGGTAAATCAATTCCCAAACGAATACCAGTGTAACAAAGAAAGGTAGTTGCCCCTGCTTTCCCCTAGCATCACACCTTTATTTTTTCTCCTGCCATCTCTCCACAGAAAACTAAATAATCAATTTTAAATCCCATTAGGAATTAAAATCTCTAAAATCAGGGCACTAGATGGGGAAAATAGTCAATAATTTCCTCCTGAAGCAGATCATTTACATACAGCTTCTCTCCTCTCAATACTGATTTATTTTTGTTTTAAACCAAGGGGAATACAACCTCAAAAACTTTTCTAAGTTACACTGATACACTAAGTTTTAAAAGGTGATGAGAGAAAACGCAAAAAAGTGTGACCAACATAGGATTTTTGCCGCTAATCAGTTACTTCCTTACAGAATTCCCAACAATCTGCATTATCAAAAATAGGAAGACATAGAAGGCAGCCACTGTATGTAAAAAATTTACAGCTGGCACTGATACAAAAGCACGAGTTCTTAACTTTATACACGGAGATAACACAAGATCTAAAAGCAGGTTAGATTTCCTGTTATTTCCCCCTCATTATACATAGAACTAATATTTTTATGGCTTCAAGTTTTACAAATTCAATGGAATAACATGATGCAACTACCTATACAGGTATTTTAAAATGTCGATGAAGCAGAACTCAGAACAGTCTGCAAATATTCAAGACCACCTTAATAAAAATAATTACCAATTCTGTTGGTCTGAATAATGAGTGCAAGAAAAAAATTGTTAAAAACAAAAGTCACGTGTTTTCTTGGGATTCTTTGTTCCACTCAAGTCTTCAAACACAATGCTTTGCTGTGAACTAGACCTTAGACTGAACAAAATCTTAGCTATATCAGCAATTTAAGGCTTTGTGTTGTATGCATTTCAACTTTGTCATACTACAGAAGAATGAAATAGAAAGATTATGTCAGCTGGAAACATTAATCCCCATTGGTGTTTTAGCTTCTTTAAAGTTCTTCCCCCTAAAACATCCAAATTCTTTGTACTGAACATTATAAAATACATCTTGAGCACTTCCTTGAAACAAATTTAAACAGCATTTCAAAGTTTTTGCTTATGAGATGTGTAAACTACCCTGGGATTGAATAACTTTTTTGTTTGTTTGTTTAAACAGGACACAACTTTTTACAGTTACTATTCCTTTTGTGGATAACATACCCTCAAATGGCTTTCTGTGTTTATGGGTTTGCATGCTTCTTGGAACTACAAAGTGTTATGGTCTATCAGTTTACAGTACATGGGCCATTATAGTTTTAGAACTGAGAAATAGTTCAACAGCCTAATTTCAATCAAAACAGTATAAAAAATAAACTATCCAATCCTCGCTTCTTTGGATTCCAACAAATTTTAAATATAGACAGTAGTTAAAATCACAAAAGTATTTAAAATTTATATTTTATGATTTTGGAATAATCTAGTAATAAAAAAGCAAGAGCAAATTAAATTCAAATAGGAGCAGTGCTGCTGTCCAGAACTTCTTTATTAGAACATTTGTTTGATACCTCAGTAGCTAAGCTGCCTTTGCACCTGGCTGGCATGAAACAGTGGCTCAACAGTAAACAGCAGTTGCACTATCAGCAGCAAGTCTTTCCCCTTGAAACCTGTCACGAACAAAGCAAGAAAAAAAAAGATAGGGAGGGTAAACCCTGCCAAAAAAATATTTAAATACTGCACTGCATCATAAACAGCATGGTTTCTTTATTTACTTTCCTCAGAACCTTTTTCCCCTCATTTTTGATAGTTGCAGATTGATGTAGTAACTGTCTTTTAGAAAATGCTGAATGTATGGTTAAGAGACCAGGTAGCCTTAAAAATCCGAACACGAATGACACAGATGAATGCTCTGGGTATATCCTTCAAGGACTTCTTTCATGACTTCTTCTTTTGTCTAAGGGTAGCTCCAGCATTAGAGTGCCTGCAGCGGAAGTTAAGTATCTAGCAGTGTTCCAAGTATTCAATCACCCTGGAGATAGATTTCTGGCCTGTTGTTCCAACAGCACACTGCAAAACGTAACAGAGAAGAGAAGTAACAAACAAGCCTTTGTGATACCTCTTTGAAGTATCTCAGAGCTACACTCACTTCACTGAAATGAACACACATTAGTACTTAGATACTTTAGTAGGGATCAGCAAAAGCAATTAGGGTCAGGTAGAGGATTCAAAAACATTTTCCTGACCAGTCACAATCGAATGGAAACGAAATGAGCTTCATTCCATTTACTACTCAAATCATGACAGGCAAATGGGCTTTTGCTATTTAAAGACAAAAACCATCCTGTGCTCTTCTGAAGACACCAATTGTAAAATGTTAAATGCTTCTAAAAATGTATGGACTATTAACAGAAAACAATGACAAAAAATAGGTACATGCATCTATTTAAAATATATATTACTTACAGTAAGATTCATAAAACTGAGAAATTTTTTGAGCATTTCAGTCATTATTGAGAAGTCCCCTTCAGGCAAGTACTCCCTCACAGTAGTCACATTGATCTAAGAAATAAAACAATCTGTTTTAATTTGGGAAATCATTTTCCATCGCAGAACTTATTACTCTGAATGTGAGATGCAATAAGACAAATACATTCATGACACTATTAAGATGGCTTTTGCTGTCATCTCTATGATTTAAGTCTCTCTTAAGCAATATTTATATGTTTATGCTGTTTCTGTTTCTAGGAAACAACAATTACTAGAAATCTTCCGTTGCTGGGCTTCTGTTGGTAGTTGTTTTGTTTTTCATTAAAGATCATTATTACCATCAGACCTCCCCAGCACCTACAAGATTATCAAGAACTAACAACTCCACCAGATGACTCTCCTGATATGGAGAGAATCTCCCTTTATAACTGTTAAGTGTTGAGAATGATTAAACTTCTTGTCAGTATCACTCCAAACACTAAAATTGTAGGGAAGCTAATCAGCCAAGAGGTACAGAACAGCCTGTTAAAGACCATTTCTGCCCTTGTGGTAGATTTAGACAAGCCTGAAAGGCTCGTCTGAACCTCATTTTCATTTGAGCACAGATCTGACAGGAGAGTTCCTCAAATTCTCAGCTGCCAGGGGTCCGCATTTTTAAGTTTTAACTTCAACTCTCTATTATGGGTTTCCAACCCGAGGCAATCATCTTCAACTGATATGGACATGAACAATTTCATGTAATTTCCATGGAGGAAAAAATAAAGCAGACTGATAAAGAACAAACAAGTCTGATGTTAACTTGCTTATTCAAACTACCGAAAAATAAAGCAAGCTTTAGTAACTATAGAGCAGGTGAGCCAATTTTCCTTTGCCTCTCAGAAGCAAGTTCAATTTTTGGCTAAGACTAACAGCTATGGGGAGAGAGGCAGAAGAAGATAAATATTCAGTTCCAACTGGTTTTGGTAAACATACTGATGATTAGGAAATTTGTTTTGGATGGAATACCTCCAGCAACTTTTCACAAAACTATCCACATCAGTGTAGCTTCCACCAAGTGTACTAGCCCACATCAGCCTGTAACTTAATAAACCCATTTCAACACTGCAAATTATTATTTCTGTAAAAACTGTAGTGGATTTAAGGCAAAGCTATTGACTGATTCCCTTACTGGACTCTCTTGGCAGAGGCAGCCTAGAAGCAATGCTGTGTACGAGGCCACAATGCAGTCTTCCATGTGCTTCCCAGCATGCTGAAGAGCTGTAAAGAGAGACAACTGAGTGTGTACTGTATTCTCCAGGCAGCTGCTATCTTTTACTGCTTCAAACACAATCCCTCATTATCACTTTTCAGAATTCTTTCTTCTCAGACAAAATGGGCTCAGACTGAGACTTCAGAGGCAAGAATCAGACAAACTTTGTACTTACTATCTCAGCAGCACATTCTCAAACAGAAAAACCATGTCCACTCACTTTCAACACTGTGTAGTATTTCATGAACTGCCAACTTGATGTATGCTTAACACACCAAAATATAAATATATATGTTTCATGTGATACTATACAACAGTAAGACTTCCACCAAAATAAGTTTATTGTTTCAGAAGAAGCCATCCCTTCCAGAATATTTCCTACACAGAATGTCCCTAAAAAGCTTTAGGTTTTCTGTTTGTTTGTTTTTGGTTTTTTTTTTAGAAGGAACTGATAGAGGATACTACTAAGAAAATAAGAAGTAGTGTAACATCTTCCAGTTCTCATAATTCAGCTCTGAACTGCTCCTACTTGCACCCTGTAACAGTTTCACCTGTGGGAAATGCTGAGAAAATCTCATCCCAAGAGACTGCACACAGACAATTAGCAGAGGCCAAGGTGGGAATTGATGCCACCACAGAATCCTTGGCCTCGTCTGAGCTCATCGCAGCCAGACAACATACCTTTATTAAGATCAAGTTCTTCATCATCTTCTTCCTTCTTATCTTTCTCTTCAGTACTGTCTGGTTTTTCTGTGGAGACCCACTGTATCTCCCCACTGGTCTCTTGCCATTCCCCACTCTTATCATGCTGAGCAGTTGGAGCTTCTTTGATCAGTTCGTCTGTCTGACTCTCGGCCAGCTGAGCCGCTCGCTCGCGCTCCAGAAACAGCTAATGGAGAAAATGCCAGGAGGATTTCTACTCTAAATTAAAGCCTAAACACATTGTATTAATACTTGAAACTTTCGTTCCCCTTCCCAATTCACTGCTGAACAGAGTCTTCGATCCTTTTCTTAACAACAGGCCTCTCTTCTCCACAGGAAGAAGCTTATCCCAACTGTTCCCTGCAGAGGCTCCCTGCCCCCCCCGAGCTGAGCCACTAAATGTTTCATCATCTCCGAGACACGGCTTGGAAGACTCAAAGTTGCAGTGTTTTCCTCTCTGTTTTTGTTCTCCACCAACCTGCCAATTTTCTTTTCATGCTAGCTATCACTTCTTTGCTCTCTTCACTTTTCCCTTGATACACAAAAAAACTAAAAACTGAGAGAGCAATTTAAATTGACTGATGAAGGATGTGACTGAAGCAGCACTCTCATGTTGTGCATTTATAGCTTGTGAATTATTTCCCAAACCATACAACCTCTAGTTTTAAATATTGCTTTGACAAGGTGTATAAATTAAGATATTGAATATTATTTTTATTGGTTTGGATTTTTTTTGTGGCTTTTTGTGGTAGTTTTGATTTTTTTTTTGTGGGGAGGTTGTTTGGGATTTTTTTTTGTCTGCTGCTGTACAGTTATTGCACATAGTTAAGTGGAAGAACTGCTAAAAGCAAAATTACCTCTATTGATATAAATGATGCAATTTCCTTTGGATTCTTTTATTTCCATTTGCATGGTGGAACTCATTTACCAAAATTATTGGTGGATTTTCTTTTTAAAACAGTTAGTCAATACAGCAACTAAGAATGCTGTTTCACATCCATAATTTACTGCTCTCATAAAGCATGATGCTTAATTTTTCTGAAATTTAAACGTATCAAGCCCCTCAAAAGATAGTACTTAAAAAAAAAAAATCCATGGAAGCAAAGTATGTAAAACAAGTACCTTACAATTTTGTACAGCTCTTTTAAAACAGAACTAGAAGTAAATCACTCAGGAAAGAGAAAACCAGAAATAAACTGTATAGGAAAAAGAAAGCTTTATGGAGCACGACAGCAGCCTTTGGATGTGTGTGATAATGATACCACTGTCTTTTACCAGGAAAACTGTCCCTGTAATGGACAGTACTGAAAGAGTTGAAATTGTGAGCAGCACCCCTCTCTTTC